AAAAAATTAATTTTTTTTAAAATATTATTTTTGAAAAGAAAATATTTAATATATATATATTTTTCCGGCGGATTTATCCGCCGGTATTTTTTTTAAAAAAAATAAATCTTTTTTAAAATATTATTTTTAAAAAAAAATTAAATCTTTTTTAAAATATTAATTTTCCGGCGAGAAATGTTTCCGGCGGATTTCCGGCGGAATATTCCGCCAGAAATTTAAAAAAAAAATTAATTTATTGGTTAAGTTAATCTAGATTTTTTTAAAAACGGGCGAAGATTATCCGGCGGCCAAAATCCGCCGGAAACGCCGCCAGAAAAACAATCACCGGCGCCCTTTTTTCCGGCGGCCAAATCCGCCGGAAATTCCTTTTTCCGGCGGATTTCCGGCGGATTTGGCCGCCGGAAATAGTGAGTTTTTTGGTAGTGTATATTATATTATTTAACGCTACACAACTATATTCTACATACATATACATGCATATAATATACCATATACTATAAACACGCATATATATGCATAAATACTAACAAAACATTATGCACATACATATGTACATTCATACTATATGCTATATATGCATATGTACAAACAATAAATACTCAGATATATACACATATGCATAGCTAGTACTAGCTATATACATACAAACAATCTGTATAGTACTTACCTATAAATATACGCTATCAAACACCAATTGCATACACATATTCAAATTATATATCAAAACATATAGAACATGTATATGTATACACATATTTCCTTATATATGATCAATATATCGACTATCAAAGACCCATTGCAAATGTCGAACTATTAGCACCTATAACGTTATACATATACATACATATGAACTCACACATCTATATATCATATAGTTACAAATATATGAACACCGTCAAACACATATACATACATATATATATATACATTACATGCATATATGTAAGAAAACATACAAATTACATATACATATATACATGCATACATGTCGGAAAACAAATATATACATGCATACCCAATATATATATATATATATATATATATATGTACACATATACATGCATAGACATAGACAAACGCACATACATACATAATATTTTCTACAGTCAGTATTCCATCATTGATATTTAGAGTTACCGACGAATTTCCATGTCGTTGTCACTAACAAATTTTCATATGTAATCCATCTGAAATCACTGATCGCTTTATGTATGCCATCATTGCAACAACAAAATTGGTTTTATAGGACACCCTCAATCTTTAAGTGTCCCAATAGACTGCTTTATAAGACTTAATTTATAGGACCAAAATATAAAATGTCTTATCTAAAGGTGTTGTAATAAGTTTATATGACGCTTTTAGGCGTCTTAACAAGTTTTTGAGGACATTTTTAATACAAAGTGTAGCATTACCAACTTTATAGGACACTTTTGAGAAATTGACCTATAAACTCAAATTTTTATAAGACACTTGTTTTTATATGACAGTTTTTCAAATAGTGTCCTATAAAGTTGATAATACTAAGTCCTATAAAGAGGTCTATTAGGACGTTTAGAATTTCGGAGTGTCCTATAAACCCGATTTTATTGTAGTGTTGATTTTCATCGGTGATACATGTTTCCTAGTAGTGCCTCACCTATATCTAGCTCCCTCTCTGAGACAATCTGCCCATCTAGTCTGCATTGAAAGGAAGGTGTTAGAGTGTCACATCGACCATCTCCCTTAAAGGTTAACCACACATAACTTGAGCATATCATTCCATTATGAATCACATATGTAGTTATAGAATGGTAAACTAGCATAATCATTTAAACACAAAAGCAATATAAATCAGGTTTACGAGCATTCTGAGTTTATGTCGTATTTACTCTTTCACAAAGAAAAAATCCAGAAAAGAAAGGAAAAGAAAGAAAAGGATGTAAATACATGATGGTTGCCACCAAAAATATATTGCATGTATTTTAGTAAGTTGAATAAACTTTCGTGTAGACTCACCTGCTTTTGTTGTATGCAATACTTGTATTTAAAAGCAAAGTTAAATAAATAAATTCCTTCGTAGAACATGCTCCCCATTGGAAAAAAAAAAAGATGCATCTTATTCATGCCCAAAAGACAAAATCTAGAGGAATTTAAGATGATGCGAGTGTGATTACTTAATTAGAATAAAATGTTTAATTACATAATTGTCAGAAAACAATCATAGTTATGTACCATCGGCGTTATTATTTTAATCACTACCAATTATAATACCATAAAAAAAGATATCATCTTGTGGTGCCATCTTTTGTCATGCATGGCTATACGAATTATATATATATATAGAGAGAGAGAAGGGATCAAATAAAAACCATTCCAATTTGTAAAAACCGTAAAAACTACTCTTATCCATCGTTAATTTTATAAAATTTTTTCATGAAATTGTTAATCTTGTGAAATTGTTTCATATAATATCTTTTTTTTTGATGAAGTTGTTTCATATGTGGTTATGAAATTGTTTCATATACTACTTAATAAATTTAATGAAACTGTTTCATGTATTTCTCTAAAATTAAAATAATGAAGATGATAATATACATAATTAACACCCTCCACAATAAAAATGGTTAATCAACCTCTCATAATTATAAAAAAATGAACAAAATAAAAAATTATGATTGGTTGAATGAAGTTTTCACAGTTTTTATAAATTGAATGGTTTTATTTGAACTCACCCTATATATATATATATATATATATATATATTTATATATTTGGGACGTTGTAGAGGGGCTCTATCTAGTTTGCTTTCTTCTTGAGAACGAGATATTCTTCTTGCTTTTTGACAGAGAATTTATGTTTGGAATCTAACTTTTCATTTCGTCATTTGTTTCAGCATTAGTGTTGTCTTTTGCCTGTCATTATGCTCTTCTCTATTTTGACATGCTTTTGGGGTCAGTTTCAATCTTAAAAGCTGACTTTGGCTCTATGCGTTTTTTATTTTTTTTATTTTTAAATGATTATATGAACATTATTGATTTACAAGAAAAAAACGTTGAACATGAACCAACATAATGGCATCCAATATGTGATTATTTCTTACTATATTAAATTCAATTCAATAAAATTAAAACTTCAATGAAACTCCACAATAACGATTGCTATAAAAACCAGAATTTTTCATTTTTTTTATTTATAAACTATATCTCTATAGACAGAGAATTAAATCAATTTCATATATATAAATTAAATTATAAAATTATCAAAACAAAATTTAAATATAATTTATTAGTTTTTACTTTTCTGTATTAATTTTAGTTTGTTAATTTATATATTATTTAAACGTATTTGAAAAATATTAAACATAGATATAATTTTATACTACAATTAAAAAATACAATATTACGAAAATATTCATCGTAATAAAAGTAACATTAAATAATAAATAATATATAAATCACTCGTAAATTAACTTTTATGTAAATGTATAAAATTATTTAAAAAATAATTTAAACATAATAATATAATCCTAAAATCAAAACTATCAAAACAAAATACAAAAACTAGTATAAAAATTTACAAAAAACGAAAAATAAAACAAAATGCATAAATATATTTTATAGTAATTAATTTATATTTTTTTATGTTCTACCTTATATGTTTTGTATAGATTTTTTAAAATAAAATAAAATGTTTAGTAACACGATAAAACTTAAAAAAAAAGAATGAGATAAGGACCCAGGTTTTTTATTCACGTATATAGGTTTTTATAAGAACTTGTAACTCGACAAGAATCTACGTTTAATAGTACATGTTCTTATAAAAATCCCAACAAAAACATCCATCGTGGGTGTTGTAACAAACAACTTTGAGAATTTGCACCGTCGATGTTAATTAGAGGTGAAATTCATGTTTGTGTTATCATTTCTTTATTTAAATCTTTTTTAGTAGACTTTAGTGTTTGGAATTAAGTCGTCGGACAACTTTTTGGAATAAATAAGTCTTTGGACATTTCAAAACTTGTTAAATAACTCCTTGTACTTTCAAAAACCTGTTAGATACATTCTTATAACTTATAAATCTGGTTAATATGGTAAAATAATTGGAAAAGACTGAAAAAAACCAATCGACTTTCATATTTTGAACGAATAAGTTCATAATGTTTTTTGAAGCAAAAAAGTATTTACATTTATAAAATGAAAGAAATATACAAAAAAAAATTACTTACATTTAAAAAGATCATTGATGAAATTTATTTTAATTAAAAATAAAAAGATTTGTCAGTGATTTTTCAAATTAAAAAAATAAAAAAAAA